TGTTGTCTTTTACCATCTGACTCCTCCCCACTAATGTGTTTAAAACCAAGTGCTCCTCTCAGAAAGCTGCTGAGCCTCCAAAGCTTTTGCATTTCTCAGCTGAACTTTATGCAAACCAGAAAACATTTTCATACTGCAAACAAATCTGACACCACCCCTCTGACCGGGCATGAGATGGATCAGGCGTCCCCTTTTCCTGAGGAGCCGCCTGGTCTCCACCTGCCCGCCACAAACACACCGAGCACAGCAGACTGAAGCTCCAGACGTCATCTGCTCCACAACAGCTGCACCCCGCTCCCCTGCTATGTGATGAATCGCAAACCAAGCTCTCCTTTTTTTTTTTTAGCTGAGCAATGTGTTCCTGCTGCAGAAAATTATTCAAAACAACGAGCAGCTGCAAAAATCTGCTCCAGAAAAAACCCTCTCCCTCGTCCATCCCACTAAATCCACCTCTCTCGCAGGCTCGTCCCAAACCAAGCGCTCCCATGGACCTGACATTACAGCTGACAGCTGAGCCTGCAGCACACGGTGTGTAAACACACACACCTTGTTCCTGCATCACAGCTTCATCCAGAACAGCTGAACTCTGCAACAAAAACACACACAAAAACACAAACCTCTCAGCCAGGCCTGCTACACGCCATAAATCAAGCGCTCCTTTACTCCTGGGGCAGCTGACAGTGCAGCCTGCAGATTACCTGCCTGTTAACCTCCACACATCAGGTTAACTCACGCCAACAGAAAGGACAAAAGCAAAACCCACAAACTGTCTCCTCTCTTCCAGGTCTGTTAGGAATCATAAATGAAGCACACCCTTCTGCTCAAGAGCTGTTTCTCTTGGCTCTCAGTCCCTCTAACCCACCCACAGCTAATTTCCTCCACTAAACAGCAAAACAAAACATCACAAACAGCCCTTCTTTCATCCGTCCTTTCTGCACCACCCTCGGCTCTGTGTTACATCACAAATCAAGCGCTCCCCTGCGCTGCTCTGTAGCAGCTGAGGACACTAACCTTTCATACTTGCACAGAAAGGCTGCATACTGCAACAACTAACTCCCCCTCTCCTCTGGCATGTCATGCATCACAAAACAAGCGCTCCCTTTATCTCCAGAGCTGTTTCACCTGACATTCAAATCCAGACTTTATTCACTGCAACAAAACAAGCTGAGATGCCTCTTACTGTATGTCACCTCCCTCCAAATCTGTACAGCATCACAAACCAAGCGCTCCCTTTGAGATTCCCCTGGCTGCTGGGGCTGTTGTCCCTCCAGTCTGAGGTTTATGCAAAACATGACAGCATGCTTCAGCACCTGCCCTCTTCTCATGTACTTACCACACCTCTCCCCTTAGCTGGCTTGTGGTGCAGCACAAACCAAGCGCTCCCTTGATCACCTCATGACCAGGAGCTTCCCCTTCACATCTTTTCTATTTTTAAAATGTAGCTGAAAAACCATCAATCCAGCCCCTCTTCTCTGCTCCTCCTCCATCCTGACCTTTTCCTCCTAGCTGGTATGTAAGGCAAACACAAACCAAGCGCTCCCTTTACCTCCAGGGCTCTTTCACCAGACGTTCATGTCCAAACTTTATTCGCCATCCTTACATCTCGCTGCTCTTTTGCAACAGACTGCTACAACCAATCAATCTGAGAGGCCTCCCTCCATGTCTGTAAGGCATCACAAACCAAGCGCGCCCTTTATCATGTCCAGAGCTGCTGAGGCTGCTGTCCCTCCGATACTCAGTCTGTGGTTTATGCAAAACACGACTGCATGCTTCAGCACCTGCCCTCTCCTTATGTTCTTACCACACCTCTCCCCTTAGCTGGCTTGTGGTGCAGCACAAACCAAGCGCTCCCTTGATCACCTCATGACCCGGAGCTTCCCCGTCACATCTAAAGCATCTCTTCTGTTTTAAAGTGTAGCTGAAAAACCATTAATCCAACCCTTCCTCTCTGCTCCTTCTCCATTTTGACCTTTTCCTCTTACCTGGCATGTCAGGCCAACACGAAACAAGCGCTCCCTTGTTTACCTCATGACCCCGTGTATCCCCCTTCACGTCTACAGCATCTTTTATTTTTTTAACGTGTAGCTGAAAATCAATCAAACCAACCCCTCCTCTCTGCTCCTCCTCCATCTTGACCTTCTCCTCTTACCTGACATGTAAGGCCACACGAAACAAGCGCTCTCATGATTACCTCATGGAAGAGCATCCCTCCACATGCACAGCTTCATTCATCTTTCTCTGCAACAAACTCAAACCAACCCCTCCTCTCTTCCCCTTATCGTCTCTACATACAATGCGTTACAAATCAAGCGCTCCCTTTACCTCTAGTCTCCACATCCGACATCATCATTTATATTTTAACAACATCCACAACTCTTCTTCTCCTCCATCTTGACTTCTCACCTGAAATGTGGATCATCAAACCAACCACTTCTACTTCGCCCTCCTCCATCTTGACCCTTGACCCTCACATGGCATGCACTGCATCACAAACCAAGTGCTCCCTTCATTATCTCAGAACCCAGAGCTTCACCCTGACCTGCACGTTAAGCATGATGTTGCTGTACATCTGCAATACACAGTGGAGACGCTACAAACCAACCCCTCCCCGTCTCCCCCTCCTAGACACGCTCCGCTCAGTTGGCATGTGGTGCAAACCAAGCGCTCCCTTCATTACGTCGAGAGCAGGAGCTTCACATGCTGAAACCTCTCCCCTCTCTCATTTCTCTATCTAGACACCACGCTGGCATGTGGTGCATCACAAACCGAGCGCTCCCATAATAACCTCACTGCTGGAGCTTCCTCTTGCATGCATCTTGTATTTTTCTCAGCATCAAAATCATCCACCTCCTCCTATCATCTTGTCCATACCTCTAGTCCACCTAGTGGCTGGCTGGCATGTGATGCATAACAAACCAAGCGCTCCTCTGATTACCTCATAAAGTCGAGCTTCCCTGTACAGGAACACATTTATTCTATCCAAAGCACAAAGTGGAGCTGCAACAATCAAACCCTCCACTCGTACCTCCATCTGCTCCTCTTTGCTGTGATGGATCACATATTAAGCGCTCCCTTCATCACTTCCAAGCTCCAGCTTCCCTCTACATGCACAAACATCTTCTATGCAACAGAATCAGCCAACCTCCAACAGCCTCTCCATCCTTCACCTACATCTAGACCCTCTCTTCTTAGCTGGCATGTAATGCATAACAAACCAACCCCTCCTCTCTTCTCACTTTAGACTCTCCTCTCTTAGCTGTAGTGCATCACAAATCAAGCGCTGAAGCTTCAAATGCAGAAGATTCTGTGTTTCTCTCTGCAACAGAATCAGCCAACCTCCATCAGCCTCTCCATCCTTCACCTACACCTAGACCCTCTCCTCTTACCTGGAATGTGACGCATGAGAAACCAAGCGCTCCCCTGATTACCTCATAAAGTAGAGCTTCCCCTCGCATGCACAGGAACATTTTTGTTCTGAAGCACAAAGTGGACAGCAAGAAAAACAAACCAACCCCTTCTCTCTTCTCCATCTAGACCCTCTTCCCCTTGCTGCCATGTAATGCATAACAAACCAAGCGCTCCCCTGATTACCTCATAAAGAAGAGCCTCCCTGTACAAGAACAACTTTATTCTATCCAAAGCACAAAGTGAAGCTGCAACAAAAATCAAACCAACCTCTCCTCTCTTAGCCGTGGTGCATCACAAACCAAGCGCTCCCTTAATTGGCTCCAAACTACAGCCTCCCTCTACATGCACAAGCATCTTCTCTGCAACAAAATCAGCCAACCTCCAACAGCCTCTCCTTTCTACATCTAGCCCCTCTCCTCTTGGCTGGCGTGTGATGCATCACAAACCAAGCACCCTTGCTTACCTCATGAAGCGGAGCTTCCCCTCACAAACACAAGAAAATTTTTATTCTAGAGCACAAAGCGGAGCTGCAAGAAAATCAAACCAACCCCTTCCCTCTGCTCAATTTAGACTCTCCTCTCTTAGCTGTGTTGCATCACAAATCAAGCGCTCCCATCACCACCTCACTGCTCAAGTTTCACATGCAGAAGCATCTGTGTTTCTCTCTGCAACAAAATCAGCCAACCTCCCCCTGTCCCCCTCTCCATGCAGACCCTCTGCTATTAGCTGGCATGGAATGCATCACAAATCAAGTGCTCCCTTAATTATCTCTGAACTACAGCCTCCCTCTACATGCAAAAGCACAACCTCCAACAACCTCTCCTTACATACATACCTACATTTATACCCTCTCCTCTTGGCCTGCATGTGATGCATAACAAACCAAGTGCTCCCCTGATTACCTCATGAAGCTGAGCTTCACTGTACAGGAACATTTTTATTCTGTCCAAAGCACAAAGTGGAGCTGCAACAAAAACCAAACCAACCTCTCCTCTCTTAGCTGTGGTGCATCACAAACCAAGCGCTCCCTTCACCACCTCACTGCTGAAGCTTCACATGCAGAAGCATCTGTGTTTCTCTCTGCAACAGAATCAGCCAACCTCCCCCTGTCCCCTTCTCCATGTCTCTCCTCCATGCAGACCCTCTGCCCTTAGCTGGCGTGTAGTGCATCACAAATCAAGCGCTCCCTTCTGCAACTCAACGCTGGCTCTTGCCCTCACATCAGCATCATCATGTGTTAATTCTGCAACACATAGTGGAGCTGCACAATCAAACCAGACCCCTTCTGTGTCTCTCCTTCATGTAGACCCTCTCTGCTCTCAGCTCGCATGTGATGCATCACAAACCGAGCGCACCCTCTACCTCCAGACCCTGTGAAGCCTGCAGCCTTCCCCTCACATCAACACCATCATGTTCACGTCCCTCTTCTCTCTGCAACATCCAAAACACAAAGCGGAGCTCCACCAAAACCAAGCCGACTTCTCTCTGACGAGCCCCGCTCCTCACACCGGCGTGTGAAGCGTGACACACACATATACACACACATGCACGCACACACAGACACACCGGGACACACCGGGATCGGGTCTTACCTCTGGAGCTGCTGAAGGCGGTGTACCAGGACAGGGAGACCAGCCCGCACAGCCCAAACAACAAGACCGTCAAGAAGGAGACATTTCGGAGCCTCATCTCCGGAGCCCCGGGAGCATGTCCGCACCGAGAGGGGGGAGGAGAGGGACGAGGGAGGGATGGAGGGAGGGGGGAGGCAGGTAGAGACAGACAGAGAGACAGGTAGACACAGAGAGACGCGGTGGGAGACGGAGAGGCGGGCGGTGCTGTTGCCGTCTGAGCAGCAGCAGCGAGACTGAAGAGCGAGAGACAGAGAGAGGAAGAGGAGGGAGAGGAGGGGAGGAGACACAACCAGGTAGAGAGACATAGGGAGGGAGGAAGAAGAGAGAGAGGAGAGAAAGTGAAAATGTGCTCAAAATAAACATGCAATAAAAATAATATTAGTCTTTATTTAGGACATGAAACCAGATGACACAATGATTCACACCAGGCAGAGAATTAAAAATAATGAATTATAAAACAGAATAAAATGGAAGATTTGAGGCAACAAATAGACCTAACATAAACAACCCTAATGATCAGAATCAGATCTGATAATCAATCAAGTGTGCACACATTTATGGGCTTTGACTGCAGGGTTTGTGCTCTCAGTGTACAGACACAGAAACAAAAAAATAACTTAAAATAAAATAAAGAAAAGCAGGAAAAAATGATTTGGTCTTAAAATAACTTCTTTTTTTTTCAATTTTAATTTAATTGTTTTCATTTAGTTGTTGCTTTAGTTGCACTGAGGTGCATTTGAGTATCAATGAACAATAAATTATGACCTCTGCTCCACCAATCAGGGCTTCAGGACTCTAACTACACTATTTTTAATTAATTACCATAAAAAATAATTAATCGTTTAATTAATTACATCTAATTAACTAACACTGATTTACACATCACATACATTTTCTGCTCTTAAATTTATACTATTATTGCTGTTTTTGTCTTTGTTGTAATCAAACATATTTTGCTTTTAGTAGTTTGCTATAACCTGTATTATTTTATGTATTGTTCTTTCTTTCTGTATGCCTGAGTTCCTATTAACTGTGTGAAAATTTTAGTAGGTTGAGGCTTCAAATTAGCCCTCTGTTTTTTTTGCCTCTCCTTGCGCTGTATGTTATTATTTATTTTTGTTGTCGTTGTGTTTTAATTGTGCAAAAAATAAACTATGAACTATAATTATATTTTTGATCCTGCCGCACTGAGCTGCTGTTGCTTTGGTTGTCAATCATTCAGCACTGTCAGCGATTTCAGTGTTAGACAGCGATGTTAAGAGACATCTTTCATGTGGTGGTATGATATGATATGCTGCTGGGTGGCACCAGTTTGTAACCTGGCCAGATGGAACCTTTCATGTTGTGGTCACACCAAACCCAATGCGAATTTTCACATCATGCGAGTTTGAACACCAGCATATTTTGTGTCGTAATCCCTGAATCAATGAATGAACTTCCGCTGGTACATCCTTCAGTGTCGTACGTCCCCAGAGGATCTCATTGCTGATTGGCTATCATGGCGCAAATTGGTCACTTAAGTTGCACCACCTGGCGGGAATTTGCATCGAATCGCGTCTTTACATTGACTTTCCATGTAATTCATTTGTGAATTATTTTATACGTGCCCGGTGTGAATGCAGCATCACAGTGTTATGATTTGCAGCTGGAGGGTGTCAGTTTGAAACACTGTCAGTAAAGAATGACATAATATAAGGAGCCGTAAAGTCCCTACAAGGGTGGGTGTGAAAGGTAGTAGATGGAGCCAACAAACCCAGGACTTCACCTAGGAGCCCGGTGTTCACTTCCAGCGTTGGGCAAGTTACTCTAAAAATGTAATATAGCCTGTTACATACCACTAGTTCCCTTATTTGAAAGTAATATGTTACTTTAAAAAAATGCTCTCACTTGTATTACTTAAAATAAAATGAGCGCAGAAGAACTGATGGTGATGTTAAATGGATGAGGGTCATGTTGTTTCACAGGAGCTCCAGTTTATTACAGTTCATTTCAAATCCATTGCTGCAGGTCTGATGTGTTCACATACAGTGGTTACACCTTTGGATTAAAATCCCCTGCTTACATTAATAACAGTGGGGTGATGTAGAGCAATTAAACAGCCTAAACCTTTTTAAATAAATGAATAGCCTTGGACACAGTGAGGGTCAGGCAGAGGATCAAAGTCTGATCATTATGAGATATGGATAAATATTTGTGGACCTATGATATGAAACACAATGTTGAATCAAACTAATTGCCTACATGACTATGACCTAAAGCAACAGCTGATGATCCATGTAGAAGACATGCAAATAAAGACTGTTGTATTGCAGGGCAGAGCTTGTTATCTCCACAGCATTATGGTATTATCTAAAAAAAAAAAAAAACAGTTATATCTGACTGTTTCTGTCTCGCAAAATGGATTTGACTGGTAACGTTAGCTTAAACTCAAGCAGCACAGACTGGTAACTTTAGCTTATATTCGAGCAGGACAGACTGGTAACGTTAGCTTAAACTCAAGCAGGACAGACTGGTAACGTTAGCTTAAACTCAAGCAGGACAGACTGGTAACGTTAGCTTAAACTCAAGCAGGACAGACTGGTAACGTTAGCTTAAACTCAAGCAGGACAGACTGGTAACGTTAGCTTAAACTCAAGCAGGAGAAACTGTTAACATTAGCTGAAACTCAAGCAGGAAAGACTGTTAACATTAGCTTAAACTCAAGCAGGACAGACTGTTAACATTAGCTTAAACTCAAGCAGGACAGACTGGTAACGTTAGCTTAAACTCAGACAGGACAGACTGGTAACGTTAGCTTAAACTCAAGCAGGACAGACTGGTAACGTTAGCTTAAACTCAAGCAGGAGAGACTGTTAACATTAGCTGAAACTCAAGCAGGAAAGACTGTTAACATTAGCTTAAACTCAGGCAGGACAGACTGTTAACATTAGCTGAAACTCAAGCAGGACAGACTGGTAACGTTAGCTTAAACTCAAGCAGGACAGACTGCCAACGTTAGCTTAAATTCTAATACAGCATCATTGCATGACAGAGTAAGAGTTTCTAACAGTAGCCTTAACCCTAATATAGCATCATGCAGGACAGACAGCTACAATTACAAAATTTCTGAACGCCCCAGTCCGGACTGTGACCCATTACCTCACAAAAAATGTAAAGATGTGCTAATTCATGTCCTTGGAAGTGATGCTAGGTTAGTAATGTTGATAGTACACTAGTTAGCTAGACACGCTAACATTAGCATAACATTGTTTCATCAGTTTCTTACACCTTTGCTCTTGTAGTTGTTTTTTTTATAGCTGCTTTTGTTTTTTAAAAATCATCCAAATGTTGTTTTTTAATTCTTTACTGAACATTTCAGATGTTTAGAGGTTTGTCACTCGTGACACACTCACCTCTTCCTTGTTTTAACAGCAGAAAGTTAAGGCAAAATGGAGGCAGGTGTTCAGGTACTGATTAAGAGCTCCAGGGTCGAATCATAGTCACATATAAGGGGGGAGAAGAGGGAGAGACAAAACCGATCGGTGTGATTGAATTTATTTCTATGTGTTATTTCATTTGTATGAAAACTTTGTCTAAGTGAATAAATATTATTTGGATTTGATCTATTTTTGATGATGGTTTTATATGAGTATTTATTTCATTTTATGGTTTCAGTCCCACTCATGTGGTATCTTCCAGCTAATTAACAGCAGGAATAAAAGACAACTTGCTCACAGTGGGTGTTGCTGTTTCTCTGTATGGAGGCCAATTAATGACACTATAGGTGCAAATAAATCTGTAGCTACTGCCTCTCAAGCTGACAGAACACAGGTTCAGTAATATGACATAAAATAATGTATATAAAACATCACATCTGAGACAAAATCAAAAGGGGAAAATGTAAATTAGCTGATGTTTATAGGTCAGCTTTGTCACGTCAATGACAATCGTGCCTTGTATGGGCTTTTTTTTAAATGTATTTAGTTTTACAAAAAATCAAGTTCAACCTTAAAGGACTAGATCAACGTTTTAGGAAATCCTCTTATACTCTTTCTCTCTAAAAGTGAAAGCTCAGCTAGTGGTGTCCCCATTTTCAGTGTTTATGCTAAGCTAAGCTAACAGTTTTCTGACTCCAGCTCAGTATACTGAACAAACAGACATGAGACTAATGTCCATCTGAACATCTCACCCTAAGAAAGACAGTAAATAAGATAACCTCTCAACATTTTAAACCATTCCTTTAACCAATAGACAGAATAATCCAATTTTTACTTGGAATAAATACACTTTTTTTTTAGATATATATTATGAGATGACAACTGTGAGCAAATGTTGATAAAACAGTCAAACCTTTTTTCTCTGGAAGATAAAATATATTTTACAGCAGATACTGATACTAATAAAACATCATTATCTCACTGATATGACAAATTACACATCCCACCGTTTCCCATGATCCTCTGCTGGTGTTATTCGTTCCGCATCTTGTTTTGTTCAGTAACACTTCCTGTACTTTACACTGGGAGTTATCGGTTGTTTTTCAACCTTTAAAGGGATTGTTATTTCCATGAACATAGAAATTCCATTCAGTATTTGTGAACCTGAGCTGTTCTCTCTTAAAGCCAGAAACCAGAGAAGTAAATCTCAAACTCGTGATGTCATGAAGTATAAAGTTTGAGGCTGCTGCATAGACAATGAATAGGAGCCTGGTTTTATGGACCCACTGAATGTTTGTTTTCTGTTTTTAAACCCAAATGAGCTTTATTTTATTGCAGTATTCTCAGTTGACAAACAAAAGATTTGCTCACATACTCAGAACATTACTGAGGCTGCTCTCAGCATCGTCGAGAACATCTCTCCAATTTATTGTTTATGGTGCAACTCCAGACTTTATTATCCCATGACATCTCAAATTTGAGTTTTAGGACCCTCGTTTTTATATTTGGTAGAGAATTGTTCACATTAACTAAGATTGTTGGACTGTCTGAAGCCATAGCAATATCATATATGAATTTTGAAAATGGCCGCAGTTATCCTTCAATTAAGAGAACTGCATGTGTTTCTTTCAGTTTTATTTATGGATTTTAATTTCATAAAGAAAGGAATAAATAATAATTTTCCACACTTCCCAAATTAAATCAATGTAAAATATTCTGTGATTTTTGAACTGAAGCTTTCTTA